TAGTCAGGGATCATAATAAACCATCCTAAGTACTATCTGCGCAAATAACAACCTCAATTGACTGGGTACCAAATAATAAAGAGAGATGCCGGTGACGGACCCACAGTCGCAGTCCCAGAAAGTCGACCCCACTGGGAGGTCACACCGCCGAACGCGTTCGCGAACTGCAAATGCGAACGTGAGAACCACACCACGGTGCACGTCGATTCTGTGGCTCTGTCCACCGGCCACAGACGCGTACCCCTCTTGCTTATGATAAAATCTGCATAGCCTGAGGGTTTTAACTTGTAAGTTTATTGTATCAGTCTGTGAGATGAAATTGCTGGGTAATTGTAAAAAAGTGTGGTGATTAATCGAAGCTGTCTGTCCAATTGGGGTCACACGAACCCACTGAAGCCCCTTCCGTGCCCTCCCCCTAACGGTTTCCATGGTCAATACTACTGGCATTGCATTGGAAATGTGATGCCTCCACAGATGCCCTGTATACATATAATTAGTCATTGGGCATGGACAACTTGAAATTCATGGAAATTACTCTATTCACGTCATCAATATCCCTGGTATGGTACAATAATATGTGCATAACAAACTGTATTTTATGGATTGAAAGCATAGCCGCCATTGCCTTTCTCGCTCAATAACAGTTGCGGTGTGGCGATTCCCTAGGCTCAGGTGGCGTGGCATCCCCTCACGTGCCCAGACATTCGCCGAACACATTCGCGAACGCGTTCGGCGGGCGAACCTCCCAGTCGCCTGGACGTTCTCCGCAGTTCTGTCAAAGACTCAAAGCGTCACACCCGGGTCACAGTAATGAATCTGCGCCAATTTCGTCACGCATTTGTCACGCCCAGGACCCTTGCACATCTGTCAAGCTTAAGCATACGATACGAGCAGTTGGTATTGCTTTAACACCAATCGGGTGGGTGAACCATGTTTAGCTATACATAATACAGTGTTCCGCAACAAGCCGATCTTTGCCGGAAGACTGTAGGCCCAGAGACAGTATTCGTCCTCCCATTCAACAATGGTAGAAGTTGACAGTTCTGACTTCACAGGCGTTCTCTACGGATTACAATTCACCTATGTGCCAATCCGCTAAGCCACCCGTTACATATTTGTCGAGATTTCGGAGTTCTTGACAGAACCCCCAGAATGATAGTAAGCGAAATCGTGCCGAAACCGGTATTTTGCTGCCGGAATAGCAAGCACGCAGAATTTCTGTAAAGATTTCTCAATATTATGATAGAACACGCAGTTTCGCATCGGTCGGTCAAATCAGCGCCCAAATATCTTCAAAACTGAAGGAGATACGAGCTTAACAGTGAAATATTGTCAAACTCCCCCCCAATGATAGCATTCCTCGCGATGGATTGATATCGCCATAGTTCCAGGCCTTTGCTGTAGGCCCCCTCACTTAACGCGCCTGAGAGGCAGTGAGAGCTCAGAGCCTCCGACGGTGTTGGTCGGAGTTAAGATTCACTTTCCTTTCGCCGTGGCAAGTCCAAGGCACGATCATTACAAGTCCTTGTTTACGACACGGACTGAAGAACAAGCACCTGCATCGCTCTGTTCTGCCGTTGCTTGGCTGCAGTTTACTCCATGTCATAGTTAAGTGTAGGCTCGAACCAGCGCCCTTCAAATTTGGGACGAACTTACCCTGTATCGTGGAGGAAACAGCGCACACCGCGTCCACACAACCTCGTACTAGTATTCGTTCTCGTATCATGTGCGGGCATGAACTGGCAATGAGGTCTAGCGGGGAAGAGGTTCAGAATCTTCATGATCAGCTCTGCGTCGCTACTGTAACATCCAGGGCATAAGATTACCCCGAGGGTATATGCGATATCGCCGAGGACGGAGCTCGTCCCTATGAGAGCGTTGGGAATGATCTCAGTTTTCCCGTCCGCTCACTGATGCAGGCTCGTCGAGTTGATGCGACCGGTGGTAAGTATTTTCTCCATTGATGACAGGATACACGAGTTGAAGGCAACGGTATGTTCGTAGTCTCAGCATCGGCTATGCTCGGCGCAGTTCATCCTTTACTGGCAGGCACAAGGTCTAAACAACGTAATCTGAGTCTTTAACATTCCTACCTGATGTGGTCCTTTCGGGTGAATCGGGTCTCAGCTTTTGATCGACCGCCTTAACCTCAAAGGAACCTGATGCTATTCAGTTCATCTATTCCCGAATGCTGATGTTCTGGACATGGCCAGGAATTGCGACCTTTTGGCCCCCTGCACCCGGATCGATGCCTTGGCAGGAGTATATATAGAGGCGTCAAGTCGCTGGAGTATTCCCTAGGTCTGGTACCCCACTCACAACACTCTTTGGCCTTCGCCCTTCTCCTGACTTAAGCTACATCCATCTTATTTCTAACTCTCCTCCCACGTATTCAAGTCACAATGAAGTTCTCCACTGTTGCCGCTTCTGCTGTCGTTGCTTTGGCCCCCTTTGCGTCTGCCGCGCCTCACATGAAGCGTGCGCCGATCTGCGACCTCTCAGGTAGGCCGTTTACTCTTCATGTCGATCTGTCCGATTTCTCACAAGGAATCGCTGGTACAGACCTGTCCGGACTGACGCTGACCGCTACCGGCGACAGCAGCGGTAAAGTCCGCTGGAACATATTCCAGGAGCCCAATTTCGGTATCCAATCCGGTACCGTGGCTTTCGTGAGTGGTTTTCCTTCGTCTACAAACCCAAACTCACAAACTCGATTGACAGCTCTTCCAAAGTCAGCCCGACGGCCCTTCGAAGTTCCGCGCGATCGGCTCGACTAACGGACCCGACATCTTCACTTTCCAGAGCACGTTCAATAACCAGCAAGTGCTTGCGACGGACAACGGTTTCGAGGGCTCTGATTCGTCAGGTACCGAGGTAAGCCAGATTGTTCCGAACACACATAGCCATACACCCTGACATTCGTACCGCTCTCTTAGTTCCTCGTCACCTGCAGCCAGTGCAACACGGATGTGGTGGACAACCAGCTCGCTGCCAATGGCTGCAAGATGGAGATCACCGATGGAAATGGCAATGGCACAGGAAAGTGCGCCTCCTGGCCTACAGGTAGCAACGTACCTGTAGAGATCGCGGATTGCGACGATACAGTCAACCAGGTCAGTGAAATCTATACCAGAGAGAGCTGATTTGACTGAACAGGCGACTTCAACAGCAAATGGGAGTCTTTGCTGCATTCTAGGAGTACCCGAGGATTGAGATACGCTGGTGTACGATTCCAGACCCCAGTAGTCATGAGACGATGTAGCTCTTTCTGAATCATCAAATGGCGGCGTTAAATTATGTTCATACGCGCATCGCTATGCGATACGCAAGAATGCAGAGTTAACAAGAATGTCCAATCCACATGACTGCCTCACTCAACAGGATCCATTCATCATTATCGACTGGAAGCGCCACATTACTACAAATTAGTACGATACGCATAAAATATCTTGGCGACTAGTGACTGATATACTGGAAGACGAATGACACCTCCGGCAAGCCCACTTCAGCCCGGAGTAGATCATCGTGATTGTTCTTCAGTTCCGCATTAGTGAAGTGATTCCATCTGGGGAGGAAGTTCAGGTTGGCTAGGCAGTCAGACTGCAATGTGCAAACTTACGTGCTGGCATCACCGTATAGTAGAGCAGGTGCTTTGACCATCTGTTTCCCGTTGCTACAGCGTTTGCACTTGAACGTCTCGTGCGTCTCGCAGAGGGTCTTGTCATTGAGTTGGAATAGTTGTCGGAGAGCGTCCAGCGAGAAGTGCCGTTCTACGTCTTCCTTCTCATCAACGACTGCCGAAGACAGCGCTTGCTTCTGTGCTTGCCGCTGGAATATCTTCTCTTCGATAGTGCCCGTCGAGATGAACCTGTATACGAAGCCTTGAAGAGAACAGGGCTGTAAGCGAGTGGAGATACCTCCCTAGCGCAAGTCATCACTTACATTCTTTCTTCTGTCCATCACGCCACACTCGCGCCAAGGCCTGCTGGTCAGCCGCGGGATTCCAGTCTACAACAGTGGTTCAGAGGTTGAACTTGGAGCCACGTCGTGACACATACCGGGATCAAAGAGAATTAGTCGGTTGGCGCCGATCAGATTGATACCACACCCTCCAGCCTTACTACTAAGCAGGAAAATGAATTCTTTGCCCTCGGGATCGTTGAACTGATCCACGAGCTTCTGGCGCTTCGTAATCGACATAGTTCCGTCCAGCCGGAAGTACCCATATCTATAAATGTTGGTGAGGAGATACACAATACGAGTCGTTTGGGACCTACTTCTTGCTCCGGCACATCTTCTCGAACAGATCCAGCGTCTGAGTGTAATTGCTAATCAGCACAATCTTGTCGTTTGTCTCTGTCTTAATGCGATGGAGGAACCTAAAGGCCGTTGTGACTCTGTCTCAGTAACGGAGGAACACGAGCGGTACCTCTCCAGGACTAAGAATTTGCCACCCCAATCGCAATGTACAGTCTGGCTACCCCTGCCACGGCTACCGGATGCACTCGTGGCTGCGCTGCAAAAATCTGGGGGTATTAGACTTTCCGATCCCCGTAGATCGCCCGGTAGATCGAGCAGTTCGGGGTGATTACAGAGCTTCTTCAATATGTTGATGGCCTTTAACGGCTGCGCAACAGCCCCTCGCAAGAGAGCCTTCACTTCTGATGATGTTATGAACAAGCGGTACAAAGCGAGCTGGAATTCTGATAATCCACAAAACACAACCTGCTCATATTTGACGGGTACTGGATCCTCGATGTTAGTAAGCGGACACAGACCAGGTGTATTGCACGTACGGTATTTCGACAGGAGGTCATTCGTCCGACGAATAATGAATTTCGTCACCAGAGCACCCAGTTCTTTCAGCTTCTCCTCGCTCTTAGCCTTGATCTCATCTGTGGCATCCGCGTCCCTGCCTCGGATGATGATGTTCTCAAAGTTCTTGCGAAAGTCGTTCTTGGATCCCAGCAAATTGGGATTAGCGAAGTTAAGTAGGGAGAAATACTCGGACAGATCATTCTGCGATACTCAGCACTTGCAAATCATTAGAGGTAGGAATTAGGTACCTGGATGGGGGTTCCTGTCAAGATGACACGTCGCTTAACATCCAGTGCATCCAGTGCTTGGAACGTCTGCGACTCTGATATGTATTGTCAAATGATACTCAGGTCGGGTCGAAGTGA